CCTGCCATAAAGAAAGGATACTATTGAAGAAAATAGTTTGAGACTCCTGGCTGAGGATGTTCTGTGGCTCCAGAACTTTCCACAGAACATGGCTTTACTTATGCTTCCAGCCTGAGGGAAGTTTTGATGCAGCCAGTGTCCAGCCCAGGTGGTGCCCAAGCGTCCTCCCACTCCCCCGCCCCTTCCCATTCTGCCTTGTCCTACCTGGCTGGAAGGATCAGGCTTTCAGTGGCTCAAGAGAGAGCCAGTGGGGATTGCAGCACAGAGGGCTCCTCGTTGCCTGGCACAAGGGACGGGGAATCCTAGTTGCACCCGCTCAGCATTTGTTTTGGGGGTGGGCTGTTGCTTTTTATATGATTTTAACTTCTCTTTGGTGAGTTCAGGTTCTGCATACAAAAAAGCAACTTATGTAACACGTTACTCATTTACCGCTGACTTCCCTGATCTGTGCTGTGGGAACAAATGCTAAATCGGGGCTCAGGCGGGTGGTGTTTTGGTTTCGGCCTGCATTTTCCCCTCTCAGTGTTTGTGAAGTGTATGCAGCTACTCAACACAGTTCTTGATTCTGATTTTTTTTTTTCCCCTCAGTAATGACAAAGACTTTGTGGTCCAGGGACCATATGCCTCAGTATCCCTTGGGGAGCTTGTTAGAATAGGTTCCACCCCAATCAAATGGGTGGGGATCTCAGGGGGCAAGGTATACGTTTTGAATTTTAATAGCCACATCATATAGGACAGCTCCTGATTTTTGTTTGATTATCAGTGATGGTACATAGAACTATTGGTAGATCCAAAATTACTCCTTGGATTTTAAGCTTGTAAGTGAGGATGTGATTTGGTCCCTCAAAGTTTTAAAACCTGACATAGATTCTCCTCACTGACGCACTTTTTACCTGGCATCCCCCTCTTTTCTTTCTCTTTTTTTGCTAAAATAGATCAGTTTCATCTATATAGAAAAGCTCTTATGTTAGTGAACCCTTCCCATGGTTCTGTCCAGGAGCACTGCTTAACGCTCTCTTGTCTAAATAGGCCAGAGCGCTGATGCTTTGTGGATTTACAGAGCCTTTAGCCTGTGGAGACATCCCTAACTAGGAGCTATTTCCCTTCCAGCCCGTGAGCGCAGGCTCCCAGCATCTCTAGATCGCCACACCACTGATGAGCATTCACAGCTGACCCTGTGGCCTCATGCTGGCTGTTTGATTTTTGAGACCTCTTCTCTCTTTGTCTTGTTGACTGTGGTCTGTTGCAGTGGCATTACATCCCAGAAATCACATGATTCAGTGTTTTCAGAATTAGTTTTACCATTGAACGCATCATCCCACACAAGCGTGCAACACTGGTGGTTTTCTCTCCATTGATCTTTCAACATTATTCCAGCTTTCACCTCTAGAGTGTTTATCACTTCCTGCTCGCCCTTTCAGCATGATTATCATTTTCTCTTTTATTGATCCTAATGGAGAACTATGTTTTTAAAAGCATCGCAGAGCTAAACACAAGCCTAAGAATTGCCCTATGACTTTTGAGCCAGTGGCCTGTCAAACAGTACAGCTAACATCAGAATTTCTTGGCGGGTGTATTAAAATACAGATGACT